CAGTATCACAGTATCACAGTATGTTAGAGATTGGAAGGGACCTCAAAAGATCATCTAGTCCAATCCCCCTGCCGGAGCAGGAACACCTAGATAAGGTTACACAGGAATGTGTCCAGGCGGGTCTTGAATGTCTCCAAAGAAGGAGATTCCACAACCTCCCTGGGCAGCCTGTTCCAGTGTTCTGTCACCCTCACTGAGAAGAAGTTTCTTCTCAGGTTTAATTGGAACCTCTTGTGTTCCAATTTGTACCCATTTCCCCTTGTCCTTTCATTGTTAGCCACTGAGAAGAGCCTGGCTCCATCCTCATGACACTCCCCCTTTATATATTTATATACACTAAGAAGGTCACCCCTCAATCTCCTCTTCTCCAAACTATAGAGACCCAGCTCCCTCAGTCTTTCCTCATAAGGGAGATGCTCCACTCCCTTAATCATCTTAGTTGCCCTGCGCTGGACTCTCTCCAGCAGGTCCCTGTCCTTCTTAAACTGAGGGGCCCAGAACTGGACACAATATTCCAGATGAGGTCTCACCAGGGCAGAGTAGAGGGGAAGGAGGACCTCTCTCGACCTACTAACCACCCCCCTTCTAATACAACCCAGGATGCCATTGGCCTTCTTGGCCACAAGGGCACAGTGTCGGCTCATGGTCACCCTGTCGTCCACCAGGACCCCCAGGTCCCTCTCCCCTACACTGCTCTCTAACAGGTCGTTCCCCAACCTATACTGGAACCTGGAGTTGTTCCTGCCCAGATGCAGGACTCTACACTTTCCCTTGTTATATTTCATCAAGTTATTCCCCGCCCAACTCTCCAGCCTGTCCAGGTCTCTCTGGATGGCAGCACAGCCTTCTGGTGTGTCGGCCACCCCTCCCAGCTTAGTGTCATCAGCAAACTTGCTGATAGTACACTCAATTCCCTCATCTAAATCGTTGATGAATATATTAAATAATACTGGTCCCAGTACCGACCCTTGAGGCTCTCCACTAGATACAGGCCTCCAACTAGACTCCGCCCCATAGACTACAACTCTCCGGCTTCTCTCCTTCAGCCACCGCTCTGCCATCATTCATCCACCGTGTTATTTCCTCATAAAAGGCTACGAGATTGGTCAAGCACGACTTCCCCTTGGTGAAGCCATGTTGACTGCCCCTCATAACCCTCTTATCCTTGATATGCCTTAAGATGGCACCAAGGATAAGGTGTTCCATCACTTTCCCAGGAATGGAGGTGAGGCTAACCGGTCTATAGTTACCCGGGTCCTCCTTCTTGCCCTTTTTGAAGACAGGAGTGACATTTGCTTTCCTCCAGTCCTCAGGCACCTCTCCTGTTTCCCAAGACTTGGTAAAGTTATGTTATGGAGACGATTTTGAGCTCAAACATCTGGATGTTGCTTCTGTTGTAGGTCCTGGTAATTCGTCCTAGCATTACCAAAGTATTTTTTGTCTTACTTTTGTCATGTTGTCCAAAGTCATAATTCCTGTAGGTGCAAAGACAGGAAGAAAAGTAGAATATTTAGTATGAGCTTGTTCATCGTAATGCTGTTCTCACTGCAGTCTTGCTTTTCATGTTTCCTTATGGCTAAAGAACTTTTGCTGCTCAGCTTGCTCAGTGAAGTTAAACTTGGCTTTTGGCCATTCTTTCAGCTACTTGAGTTTTCAGATCCTGTAATTTTTGGTGTGAGTTTATCCTGTTTCAGTTTCCTGTTTCTGTTTTATTTTGTCTTGTCTTCTACTCAATTAGGACATTAGAGAAGTTCTAATTAAATTAATGAGGGACTGTGCAATGTTGGGTCACTTGTAATTGTGATCTACAGCATTCCTGTTGCTTCAGAGTTTATCCATGATTACTCAGTCACAAAATCTTTGGTAGAAGACAGAGAGCCTTAAAGACTGGCATAAATGTGAGAGAAATGGCAGTGAAAGATGCTGCTTTTTATTTAATATGAAAAAGATACATTGTTCCTTTGTAGAAGTTGGTCTTTATTCAAAACTTTGTTCTTCGATCATAATTGTGGAAATATGGAAATAATTACATTTTTAGCATGAAAAATTATATTGCTTTATTAAAATGCATGAGGGAACAATAGTAGTGAGTTACCGTTCAAGAAGATTATCCTGGTTGCAGCTACATAGTATGCAATTTTTTCTGAGCTTAAAATATGTTTTTCTTACATGTTTACCAGCACCAAGAACAAGTGCTTAATGATACAGTGGATGGAAAAGAAATCTATAATACAATTCGTCGGAAAACAAAGGATGCCTTTTATAAAAATATTGTCAAAAAAGGTTATCTTCTGAAAAAAAGTGAGTTATATTTACTTCTACAGATCTTTTTATTCTTTTCTAAAATGCAGATGTGGGTCATAGAATGTCTCAAGTTGGACGGGATCCATAAGGATCATTAGCTAAAATATTATAAATCTGTACATTCGTTGAAGAGTGCAGCTGGTTAAATTTTGTTATTCCAAGTTACATGTTTTAAATCTTAAATTTAAAATTTATATTCTGCTGTACAAGATACATAGTGACTTTTTTAGGATTCTAATGTTGACACAGTCGACATAACATCTAATAAATAGGTGAAAAGCTGACTGCTTGACTCAGCTCAATATAACCCGGAAGAACTGCCATTGAGCAAGCCTTTGATGTTCTTAGCAGGCTAATCCCTTACTAAGTGATATATTTCTACCTTTATAAAAATTAAAATTAATGGAAGCACACAAACTATCGGTAATAAGATTTCTGCAAATGATGGAGACCATAACTAGAAGGGTAAGATACAGATAGTAATCTGGATGGCGACCAAGAGTGAGAAAGAAGGTACGATTTTACATACAGAATCATAGAATCAAATAGCCAAATATAAAGTAAATAAAATGTAAAATAAAATATAGCCAAATGTAAATGCGATATTCAAAAAGCAAACTGTAAACCCTCTGAACAGGACAAGGAGGGGATCTTTTCTATTGAGAAGGCTGATTCTGAGAGAAGGTGTAGAGGGATGTCAATAGAGTAAGGAATCAAATAAGAATTAGTTGAAAACCTTTCGCTAGAAGTGATAATGAGATACTTTAGATGTGCAAACTGGATTGCAGAGTAGGTGTAGTTAGATGCACATAGAACTGCATACAGAACAAATTCAATAAAATCACTCTGGCCTCTGGGAGACAGGGTACTAAGTGGGTGTCAGATTTGTCTTTTCAAAACAGAGCCAGTACTTGTTTCTTAAGGTACAAGGTGGATTTATGATGACCAAGTATAAAATTAAGGCTAAAAGCTTTTTCTAAGTGGGACTGTGACTTAGAACGTTAGTTTCAGAAGGTACTTAATCCATTGCAGTTCAGAAACCATTTTCTCTGAAACTAGTGAAATCATACAAATTATGTGTGGTTTTGTCTGGGCAATGGTTCTGATTTAAGTTTGTATATAACGTGTTCCCATTTCTGTTCTTCAGACATGCTGTTTTAAGGTACTGTGATTCAGTCTGTTAAACACTGGTCAGAGTTTAGGAGTAACTTTTGTCAGGAGTCTGTATCTTAATTAAAATTGTAACTGTGTAGATGCAGTCTTAACACTCAGTAAATCACTGCTCATAGTAGCTTATATGCACTTGCTTAATCTTGTTGAAATCAGTGAAAATGTTTAGAGAACCTTTTTGCAACTCTACCTGCATCTGTGAAGAGGGTCAAGTTTTAGCCATGTGTTGCATAAAACTGTGTATGTATAATGATACTGTAACTTAAGTGTGATTACCTGTACATTGTTCTTCTGTTAACAATTTGACAAAAGCTTTACTGCCCTCTTCTTTTGCTTATAAAATATACATTTTCTTCTAAACAATATCATAACTTCTTTGACTCTGTCTTCCACAGGTAAAGGAAAGAGATGGAAAAACTTGTACTTTATATTAGAGGGAAACGATGCCCAGCTTATTTATTTTGAAAGTGAAAAACGAGCCACAAAACCCAAAGGACTAATAGACCTCAGCGTGTGTTCCGTCTATGGAGTGCATGACAGTTTGTTTGGCAGGTATGACACTTTTAATTTTCCTGTGTGCAGTGGGAAAGTTGGCTGATAGTTTGAAGCATGTGCAAGACATGGGCAGTATGTTGCTAGCAGGCCAATAGCTCTGGCTAGCATTGTGGCTCTTGGTTTACACCAACAGTTTGTAATTGATGTGGGTTGCCAGAACATATGTAGGCAGATGTAGCTGAAGAACAGTAACTTGTTTAGCCTGGCAACTTGGTTGCTAGTCACTATATATAAACACAACTACATATAGTTATAAATTTTAGAATTTAGTCTTAAAGTTTTATTGTGAAATAAAATGTGATGATGATTTGAGCTTTTTGCATTGTCATTTTTTAATATTGAGCACATTAATTGTTCCATGTTGCATTTTACAGGCATTAGAATTTATGAACTGAGTGTTTTAGTCCTTTTGAACCAGGATTTGACAAGATAAAAAGAGTTTTATCACTTCAGAAAAAGCTACATTCTTTTGATAGGTATTTGAAAGCTGACTTGGTTGGATGGAGTCTGTGAGGGCTTTTCTATTTAAGAACAAGTACTTTTGTTAGATTAGACCAGCTCAATAGTAAACTAGTTCTTACAAGTCAACATCCTTAGAAGTTGGTTTTGCACAATTACTATATTCTGAGGTAATTTTCACATCAAGGCTTATTGACTGTAGTATTTTTATATTCAAGATATGCCAACTACAAGGGATGTGATTATCAGCAAAGAAGTTGAGAATCAAAAGTCTTTTGCATATCATTTTTAGAGTATACATATGTGTTCATTGGTAGTTATAAAAACTCTCTACCATCCTGTGTTAAATTGTCTTACTGAAAAAATAAGTATACTTCCTCCAACAAGTAAGGTGTTGCAGGAGTTGTTACCTCCAGATGGTAAGTCTGGTTATCTCACAGATATCAACATTTATTTTAAAATGGTACATAATCAAATTCTAGGTATTTTTGTGAGCAAACGTCAAGGCAGATGCTTCAAATCAGTGGCATTTCTTACGCTGCAAAGACTGGTACTTTTGTTTGATCTTGTCTGGTGTTTTTTAATCTTGTCTAATAATTTTGAAAAAAATCTGTTGAACTAATGGAATGAGGAGCATCGATAAGGAGTACCAGAACAGTAAGAAAAAAAATACTGTTTTCCTTCTGTAAGGTGACAATTATGCAGGAGGCTTTGGTGTATATTGTATACAAGGAACACTGGCTTTAAACAGCTTCTAAGAAACACTGTGCTGTGTGTTAAAGTGTAGTTGGATGGTAAGTGACACTAAATATGGGTCAGAGGAAGTGCGTGGATGCAGTAGCTTAGGAAGCTGTTAGTGACGAAATGTAGCTGAGACAAAGTTCCCCTGCTTTTTAAGTAGCTGGTAGAAACTGCCTTTGCTCTTTCCTCCAAAGTACAGTGGAGTCTGCAGCTCTGCATGGTTCTTTGGTGGCAGTGATTTAAGTAGATCTGCTCTCTGACATGGCCGCAGAGTGCTGTGTCAGCATTTTGCCAGGCAGTGAAATGGATGGGGTAACAGAAGACTGAAACTCCCTTGCAGGTGAAGTAGTATCCTCCATGTAACACTGCTTTTGGGAGAACTACATTTCCCTGAGAGCAGTGTGAAAGGTGACGAGCAAAGTGGACACTTTAAATATCTTGTAGTTTAACAAAGCAAAATATTTTGGTAACTTTTTGGCAAATGGGTGGAGGTGTGCAAAATGGCAAAGGCGCTAATGTAGCATTTGAGGTTGTAGAGGTTTGTCACGTACATTTGATGATTGGTATGTGATTGTGAGAGCTGAGACACATTCAGGTAGAGGATTCTTTATGTTAATGTATTTCCTGAACTCCTGAAAGAACACATCCTTAATTTATGATTAATTGGTTGGGAACTAAGGCTGAGCATCTGCTTTGAAAGCCTCTAGGAACAGCCCTTGTCAGCAAGTCTTTTCCATTACCAGACAGCTGTTTATTGCCTTAACTGAAAGGCAGCACACGTCTATTCAGTACAGACCATTCTGAAAGTTTCCCAATATTCTGAAACAAACTAGCTGCACTGAAATGTGGTATTCTTAAAATGACATAATACATTGAAACCAAAATGCAGTTTCAAAGGACCTAAGATTTATTTTTAGCTGGAGTTCTTCCTCTTTCCATGTGTGGTGATGCTGCATGTATATAAACAGATTAATGTGATGTTCAGTCCTTCTTACAGCCAAACATCAGAAATATATTAGTTCTGTGTAAACTTTGTTATCGCATAGAGCAACAAGTCAAGGTGTCAGTTAATATTACGAAGATTAATAAAACTTACATTTTTTGTTTTGTTTATTTTTAAGGCCAAACTGTTTTCAGATAGTAGTTCAGCACTTTAGTGAAGAGCATTACATCTTTTACTTTGCAGGCGAAACTCCAGAACAAGCACAGGTGAGAGCTTTTGTTGGTAAATATAATTTAAGAAGTAATTTTTCTTTTGTCATCTGGTGTTTAATGATTGCACTTTGAAAACAGGAAGCAAGTGTATAACAAATACTGATTATGTTTGTTATCAGGTCTTACAGTGGAGTAGTAGTGGATCTGTAAGGGCAAGGATTGATGTTGAGAATCCAGCACTTGTGGGTTTTACTTTGGAGAAGTTCCAGTTGGGTCTCATGGACTAAACTGCCATTATTTTCCATTAAATGTTTCTGGAGAACAGATTTTTTTTTTACATAGTTCAGAATAATTTACTTTCCAGGATTTTTGCATGTTAGAAGCTGAAGCATGGTAAGTGGGAGTTTTTCTTCAAAGTGCATGTTCTTGATGTGCACCAAAATGCTAATGCACCTATGTTGTACCCAGTGACCAAAGGATGCTGATCAGCTGCCTTTTCTAGTTACTTGCTCTGTCCAAAAACTGGTGGTTATTCATAGTCCTGGGCCCTGATGATGCACAAAAAGTAAAGTTTTCTGGTTTAATTCAGTGACTAACTCCAGCAGTTGTTTGCTTACTCAGGATTGTAGCATAGAAGCCTAATTCTCTGAAATTCACTCGCCAGCAGGAGAGCATAACTCAGATGAGATAATATCCTTATTTATCAAGTGTACACCTCTGAAATACACTTGTTGCATCAGAAGTTAAGCTTTGCATTTGATTTTATTAGAATGGATTTAAGGCTGTTGAGAGCACTCATAATAGCTTGCTATCCACCAGAGCATAGAGGTTATATAAATCCAGTTTTCTAGTTGCGCTTTATTTAAAAGGGAAATACAAATTTTCCTGTTAAATGAATACAAATTCATGAAACTTGCTGAGATGACATCAGAATGATGTGGGCATTTGTTGCACAACTCTTAATGTAGTGTCTTTGAGAAGCAGGGCACTGTATAGAAATTGAGTGTACATCAGTTACCACACACATCTCTGTACACTGATTTTTTGGTCACATCTGCAATGTCTTTGGTGTTCTAGAAATCCAAAGAATTAATAATGCGTAGAAGACGGACTGTCCTGTCTTGTTCCATGACCATTTGGCATAATGTGCTTTTGGTTTTGATCTGCTTAACAGGCTGTTCACTGCATTTATACAGAATACTGTTGTTTGGGGGGGTTTTTAATTTTTTTTTTTTTATAATATGGCTTTGACCCAGAAAAGTTTATAGATATTTCTCTTTTGAGAAAGTTCATCTTTCTTTACTCTGCAGCATTTCATAGAACAGTTTTATTTGTGTATTAGGGCTCTTACAGTGCAGTAAATAAATATCAGAGCAGCGCCATTCTGAGAACTGCATCCTTATGGTTTGTATGAAATTAAAGGGAATGTAAAATGCACCCTTACATGCGGGTGTCACTGTGCTTGCAATGTAGCACATTGTTCATTCTCACTGCTGTAAGCTCTGGCATTAAAGGGGAAAGGTTTTCCTGCTATGAGTGAATAGAGAGGTGTACCGTGCATCCAGGAAATATTTATGTTAGAGTATTTAGGAGGCGTTTGTTTCTTCAATTGCTAGTCCTGAGAATAAGGAAACAAGTTGGAAGCTTTTCCTTCTGTGGAAGGATTTGGAAGCTGAAACCTGACTTGCAAAGTGGCCTCGCTGAAAATAGCTGCAGCACATCTTCCTGTGTCTTTAAAATGTGATGGGTAAAATTGAAAAAGCATTGTGGATTTTTTAATAACACTGTTAATTTTTACTTTGAGACTACATGGCGGATCTCTGAGACATAGACAGAAGGCTATTGGTCAATGCCTAAATTACGTGCTTTGCATGAGCAATACAAAATTCAGGAGACAAAAAAATAGAGAACGAGGCTACAACATATCTTCGTATCTTCCACCTTCCAAAGGCCCCTTGCAAAGCTCCCCTGTTAGCAACTTTCTCATGCTGCAGTGACTTTTTCACTGGTGGCATGGCGAGTTGTCAGTGCCTCTTAGCAGCTTATTTGTTTAAAAAAAACATGCACAAAGGTTCTACAATCATTTTGGTGTAAGTCAATCTGTTTACTTCCTTGATCCAAATGGAATCCATCCATCCACTCTGCTGTACACATTTGTGAGTGAAGTGGGGAATGTTGGGTACATGCTCTGTATTTCTGTTAGTATTGCTTTAGTTTGTTCGAAGCATGCACAGTATTACTAGCCTTACAGAAGTACTGTAGAGAATAATCAGAACGGTTTGCCTTGCTAACCTTAATATTCTCAGGAGCAAATAAGTTTTGCTTCATTTTTTTATACCATTTGTAATTCTGTGTAATGTTACTAGAGTGGAAAATTGGTAAAGGTCACACTGTATATCTGTTAGTAATGCTTGATGTTTCTGAAAGAGAAAATGGTTCAGACTTGCAAATCCCTTATTAGGTTGTGCTAAGTAAAGATAAGAATTTTGCTTTAATATTCACACTTCCAAATTTGGAATTACAGAAAACTTAAGTTCTGCCAACCTAAAGGGAAAATTTATTCTTTTTAGGTATGTCTCTTCCACTGAAAGAAGCTTTATCTGACTTTGTTTCGTGACACTGATCTGTATCCTTCTCTCTTAGGACTGGATGAAAGCTCTGCAGATGTTTTGCAGTTTAAGAAAAACCAGTCCAGGAACATCAAATAAACGTCTTCGTCAGGTGAAGCTGATATGGGGCTGGCCATCCATGTGGAGGAGTGTTCTGTCTCCTTGTTGCAAAATTATACTAACAGATCTCCAAATTTTCCTTTCAGCAGTAGTAAATCCTGCATGTACTTAGTTTCTTTTTTGCACCTATGCAATGCCCTTATGAAACCAAACAGAATGACTTACACTTTGTTATAGCCAGTACATATGTACAGCTGGGAATGGTGTTAGCCAGTCTGATGTGCTTTGCTAGGTATTATTTTCTAACTAAATTGGAATAAAGGTGTAAAGAAGTCAGCATTTGTATCAGCTAAACTTTTAAAATGCTTTATTTTAAAATATTAAAAATTATTTCCACTTATGGAAAACTTCAAAAAAATTGACAAAATTATGTGACATGTAGCTAATACTATTAATTTTCAGTAACAAATACATGGTGAACCATACTTATGGCTTAATTTTTCTTGTATTCTTGAAAATTCTGTGTTTGCCAGAAGTTCCTCAGAGGTAGAGGACAGTCAGTCATAAATGGTGAAATCTATGATGACAGGAGAATAACAGGAAAATAACTCAAGAATTCCTGATATTTTTGAATGTTAGGAACATTGAATGTAGTTGTTTTAACAGATACCAGAGAAAAGAATAGGGTATTTTTCAGAACACACAACTATTCTGTAGTTCGTATTAGAGATGTTTGGATATTTCTGTATAAATGAACTAAATTAGGTGGAATTGGGGGGTTCAAGCTGCAAAAGCAAAGCAGAAAGAATGAAAGTCTGAAATAATCCTTTAATTCAAAAAGTGAAGAAAATGGTCAGCTACGTAAAAGAATAGAATGTAATGTGTTGCACAAGGTAATTCTATGTACTCTGTTAGTAAAGCAGCAAATAAGCCATTGTGTTTGGAATCATCCTTGGCTTTTATTCAAGGTACCTGTCTTTGATTTCAGTAAAGTTTTCTGTGCAAAGAAGGTGTAAGTCTTAATGCCTCAAAGATAATTAAAAAAAAAAAAAAAAAAAAGGAAAACAAGATGCTTAAAAACATGGGGCTGGAGATTTATCTTTACTAATTATTTGAGTTTCTCTTATTTTGGTACTGGTGTCTCTTAAATGTTGTTCCGTTACTTGCTGCTCTTAGTGGGAAATTTTAGTTTATATTCAGTATTCATATATTCATGTTAATCCTCTGCTTAGAGTATAGCGAGTCATTCATTCATGTGTTTCATATTTCTGGTTTAGCCACAAAAGGAGATTTTGTGTATTTCCATTGTGGGGTTTTTTTTGTTTTTTTTTTAGGTCAGCAGTCTTATTCTGCATGTAGAAGAAGCTCATACACTCCCAGTAAAGCATTTTACTAATCCATACTGTAACATCTACTTGAACAGTGTCCAAGTAGCAAAAACACACATCAGGGAAGGGCAGAACCCTGTGTGGTCAGAAGAATTTGTCTTTGAGTAAGTTTTAATCTTTAATTACTGAATTTCACTTGTTGCATGCATTCAAGATTTTTAACAGTGTGTACTGGTTTTACATATGCTTTTAAAAAATACTATATGTGTGTTTGTACAGCAGCAACATTTCAGCCAAATTTTGCATGTGCAGAATTTTCTGTAGGCACCTAAATATTTTGTTAATACAAGTGTCTTTAGCAGGATTGAAATGAGTCTAGAATAAGCTTAAATGCCAGCCAAGTATAATATTAATTGAGACTTCCTGTCTTTTCTCCTAGTGATCTGTCAGCTGATATTAATAGATTTGAGATAAGTCTTAGTAACAAAACAAAGAAAAGTAAAGATCCGGATATATGTAAGTTTGTTGGTTTTTTTTTCTATAAAGGATGCATATGTATTGCAGCAGTGTGGTTTTCATTATTCTGGTCAAACACTGTCACGCTGTCACAAACACTGTCATTTTCATGCTCACCATACTGCTGCGTTTGTATGTTTTGTCTGTCTGGTACTGGCATTCCATTAATGTTTTTTACAATGAGAATGGTTTTTAGTAATAAACTCAGGTTTACAATCTTGAGTTGTCTTTCATCATTATAATAAATATAGTAAGGAGTAACAAAGTGGTCAAGGAGCAGACCTGATGGTGGTATCAGCCTGAGGCTGGAAAGAGAGCAGAGAATTATGAACACGTATCTGGTTTTTAGTTTCTCACTGCTACCTGGATTTGCAGGGTAGCACTTTTTCAGTCACTGCTTGGGTGTTACAAAGAAAACTATCAGTACCCATGTGGCATTTTTTAATGTATATGTATATATACATTAAATGCTTTGCATTTCTGCAGTTTACAGGAGGCTGTTTAATGACTTAAGAGAGAATCTGTCAATATAGTGATGGCAAAAATTTCGTTTACTCTTATTAACAAACTTTTACTGAAACAAGATGATATGTGCTGAAAATAAACTGGTTCTTTACTCAATAGTAGGACTGTTTTTTTTGTAATAACGTACTTGAACAATGCTTTCTTTCCTTAAGTGTTTATGCGTTGCCAATTAAGCCGATTACAAAAAGGACATGCAACAGATGAGTGGTTTCAACTCAGTTCCCATGTACCATTAAAGGGTATTGAGCCAGGATCTTTGCGTGTTCGAGCACGATACTCTATGGAGAAGATCATGCCAGAAGAGGAGTACAATGAGTTTAAAGAGGTATAAAGTTGTTCGACTTCCCTTGTTCTATCTGTCAAAACTCAGTTTGTTGGTTGTTTGAGACACCTATCAGTGAGACTGGTTGACATCAGTAAATGATATTTATAGTGACGTCTGTACATCACTTACAGATGTATGGTACTAGTTTTTCCAAAGCTGTTATATGTTAGGTGAAGCTTCTGAATATTTCGAAATTCTGTTTTTCTTTCAGCTTATCCTCCAGAAAGAACTTCATGTAGTCTATGCCTTATCGCATGTTTGTGGACAGGATAGAACACTGTTGGCTGGCATTTTATTGAAGATTTTTCTTCATGAAAAGCTTGAGTCCTTGTTGTTACGGACACTGAATGACAGGGAGATAAGCATGGAAGGTACTGCCCTAAATTACACTGCTGTTTAGTGGAACTCTGAGCAAGTGGGGAGGGAAGGGCTCGGCTCCAGCACCCACCTTTTTTTTCTTGTCCTTTAGTTACAACATATATCAAAATATAAAGATAGCTCATTTTTCCTCTGCTTTTTATTGTCTGCTCCTCTCAACTTTTCGCTTTGCCATCTTTTCATCCAGATGAAGCTACTACCTTGTTTCGTGCCACCACTTTAGCAAGTACACTTATGGAGCAGTACATGAAAGCCACAGCAACAAGTTTTGTTCACCATGCACTGAAAGACTCTATATTAAAGATAATGGAGAGCAAGCAGTCCTGTGAGGTGATAACCCTGAGCTAAGTTTTAAAACTTTTTGGTTTGTTGACACACTTACCTACTGGTTATGTTTGGTGTTTGCATTAAATTTTAGCTTCATTTATTATTGTTTCAGAACTGAAATTTATTTACATGAGAAATCATAGAATCATAGAATAGTTAGGGTTGGAAAGGACCTTAAGATCACCAAGTTCCAACCCTCCTGCCATGGGCAGGGACACCTCGCAATAAACCATATTACCCAAGGCCTCGTCCAACCTGGCCTTGAACACCGCCAGGGATGGAGCATTCACAACCTCCCTGGACAACCTATTTCAGTGCCTCACCACCCTAACAGGAACGAATTTCCTCCTTATATCCAATCTAAACTTCCCCTGTTTAAGTTTTAACCCATTACCCCTTGTCCCCACTACAGTCCATCCCCAGCATCCCTATATGCCCCCTTCAGATACTGGAAGGCTGCTATGAGGTCTCCATGCAGCCTTCTCTTCTCCAGGCTGAACAGCCCCAACTTTCTACAGGAAATGAGTTCATTAAGAGATACATTTTTTTCCTAGATTTTGGCTTTAAACAATATTCACAGTAAAACTTTTTAAGTTTTTTTAATTAAAATTACTTTTAGTGACTTATGTATCTTTAGCGATTTTAGGCTGTTCTGTAGCAGTTACTGAATGTCCTGAACTAAGCAATTTCTAGTAAACTAAAGATATGATAGAAGTGAATGTCTGAACTTCAGTTTTAATTTTAAACTTCCTGATATTAAATGATTGATGTTGGGTCTGAAGCTGTTTTTAAAATAACCCTGCTAATTTCTGTGTTTCACTTGAACTTACTTGTGGAAATGATGAGTGGTCATGCCAATTGATAGCAGTGAATATGTGACCTGTTAAAAACCTAGTGTATTAGAACTTCAAACAATTGCCTCTTTGTATTTCCTGACTAGACATTGAAAGAGATTTGCGAGTTCTGTAAGAGACTTGTACAGCAGCAGAATAATTAACTTACTTGGAAGTAGCATTCAGTGTGTATATTGAAAACCTGTATATGTAGTTCTAGTTAGAGAAGCATCATCTTTTTCTCTTCTTTGTTGTAGTTAAATCCATCAAAGTTAGAAAAAAATGAAGATGTAAACACTAATTTGGCACATCTACTCAGTATACTTTCAGAATTGGTGGAGAAAATATTCATGGCTGCAGAGATACTGCCTCCGTAAGTATTTGAAAACTCCTGTTGATGTGAATTACGCTGCATCCTAAAATGATGTCTTACTGGTTCACCTTCTGCTCCTGTGAGTTTAATGGAATGAGTTAAGTAGCTTTTATTTTTGCAGGACATTGAGGTATATTTACGGGTGCCTACAGAAGTCTGTTCAAAACAAGTGGCCAGCTAATACCACCATGAGAACCAGAGTTGTTAGGTAAGTTACTTGTCACTTTACACTGAAATGATATTTTCAAGTCTTGTTAAAGACATACTTCAGCATGCTCCTCTATGTTTCTTTTCAGTGACAAAACTGTACCTTACTTACTTAGGTTACAGCAGTCTTTAAGATACTTACAGTGCTGAGGCATGATATCCCAGTTAAGGATTATGAGCGTGCTAGATTCTTAATTATGTACTTAGAGCCTTGCCACAATAAGACAATGTAGAATAGAGGTCAGTGTAGCTCTACTTAATGGTTTCAATTTTGAATTTACTTGTGTTTTGTCAAGTTTTACAAATTAATCTGATTTCCTTTTTCATGCTGGGAAAGAAAAACATCTCTCAAAGCAGCAGTTGACCTTTTTGATACCAGTAAAGAGCAGTGATCTCTGAAGATCACATTCCTGCCATATGCCATCTGGGAGGACTGTGCCCTTCCCAGGGACTCCTATGTAGTATGTGTTAATTGCTGGAGAAATCTGGCATGGTTTAAGATCCATGCACTTTAAAATGCAGACCCAACACAGTAAGGAGTCAGATACATTCTCACAAAGACAGTTGGACTGTTAGATTTCACCAAGGTACTGTTAGCATTGGCATATGTAGTTTTCTGCATCAGAGAAGGCTCCTGGTCACTGATGATGAGCTGCTGGTTCTGATCACTCTGAATCAACACTCTGCTCGTTTCTAAAACCATTAATTTTATGCTGTCACGGTTTAGTTTCATTTATCTGCTCCTGCCAATTATGCTGAAACATTCCAGAGCTTCCCCAAAAATTTTGCAGGAGGTTAGTGAATCTGACTCCTCTGAAGTCATATCAGCCACAAAAACTCCAGTGCAGATCCATAAGCCAATGTAATACAGAAGTTCTTTCTCTAACACTGTCCATTGCCAGTGCAGGTCAAACAAAAACCTTTGACAAAGATGTCGTCTTGACACTCTTCCTAAATGCTACCAGTTTTTTTAAAGGTGTCAGAGCCACGTCTTTCATGGGTTGTGGCGTCTGGCAGTCATATGATTTGCCATGGTTAATTTTCCATGGAGGAAGTCTTTCAGAGAACTTGTCTTTGGCTTGCATTTATCATTTTGACACCAGAAGCCCTATGTCATCCAGGATATGACGCAAGGGCATTATGGAGGCTGCTCTTGCTGTGAAAGCCCCTCTTGTGAGAGGCTGTAGGGCTCAGCCATGAGTACTGTGTCTCTGTATATTCCTCCCCAGCTCCAGAGAGAACCATGTGGTTTTCCCTAGTGGACACAGCTTGCATTCAGGGTTTTCCAGAGGTCTCCCCTGGATGCTGTAAATATGAGATAACTTGCTCTTGTGATGATAGTCTTCACAGGTGCTTACTAGTGATTTCTGTCTGGTAATAAACCCCTTATAGATATTGACTTAATTTAGGCAGGTTGACCAGTGTTGGAAGCATCAGATCTTCTTCTGTAACAGCAGGGTCCATACTAGGTTCATACCCTACTGGCATTCAAGTTTGGGCACTTTAAAAGAGAAATTGCTGTATATGCCATGACTTCAAAATTAATTACTTCCTCATAGCTTTAAATTTACACCATAGAAGATACTATAGCTTTACATATGGCGAAAAACTGCTGTCTTGGGAACTCATAGCCCATAATTCATGGTTCTTGAAGGAAGAAGTACAGTATATATTGGATGTCTTGTACATATGGAAGGTAAGTTAACCTTACTATGAAGTGTGTCATTTCCAAGTAATATGTACATTACTGTCAGTATGTACTTATCAGCAGGCAAGGTCCCCTTCCTTCTTTTGTAAGTGATCTGGCTTTGGTATTGCTGCAGTGAGAACCAGTCTGTTAGCAGTGTCCAAGCACTCCAAACCAAATTACAGATGATTTAAATTGCTTTAGTTGGTCCACATGTTGCTTCAGTGTATAGCAATTAGCCAGAATTGAAGTTAACCAGAGATGGATGGTTTTTATTTCTGCTATTAACAGAAAGTTATCTTTTTCTCATGCAACTGGAGGCTGTTGTGGGTTTCTGTTAATGAGCTGCTAGTTCTGCCATCAAAACAGAGTGCTTTTTTCCCAGCTTTCTAGATGGCAGCAATTATTTAATGGAAGAAAGTAGCAGATCCCTTGCTATTTCTCTACTGTAGCATACTGTCATCAGGATATGGATCAATTTAAGCTGACTTAAGGCTGTGTTGCTACCAAACAAAAGGTTCCCTCTGCCCACTGGCTCCTACACTCCTCGCTGCATTGGCTTGGGGAGCGGTTGCTGTGGGATGGATCCTTTGTGGTAGCAAACAATGGAAAACCTGTGGGACCTCCTCCTTTTGAAGCTGGCGTGGTCTGATACTGGCTTTACCGTTAGGATCTTCCCATACGGTTTCAACAGTTTGCCATAACTGGGAAATCAGTATGCCTATTTGTTCAGCTCTAACCATAGTTGAAGTTGTAGCATTGTAATTTAGCTTTCATGTTAATGTATTCACAGAGCACAGGCTGTTTGGTTGGTGTCTGTCTCCGAAAGATACTGTGCTAATTTGAATCTTTAAAGAATACACAATTTTTACATTAATTCTCTAATTTTGCTGAACAAAATACGAATTTCTTCTCATTTCAGTGGCTTTGTTTTTCTTCGCTTGATTTGTCCTGCTATCCTGAACCCAAGGATGTTTAATATCATCTCAGGTGACTGTATGCTTCAGATTTTAATTCGTACTTTATATAGCAGGCATGAAACATGGATGATCCCATGAAGCACGGATTATCCCATGTCCTTTGCCTTAAGCACCTGGAAATGATCTGTGGGCATTTCTAACTTATTCTGTGAGAGGAAACAAAGAAAAGCAATTAACTACTGAAAACTCTGTTACTAGAGGTAAAATATTTGGATGTCTGAGTTGCCTAGTTTAAAGTTTGCCTATGTTACACTACATCTCTGTTTCTGTTTTATTCCTTGGCAAAGATAACCCCAAGCTAGAGGGCATTTAGTTTGCACAAGCCATTGCTCTTCGTCCTCTCCCTAGCTGAGTTTTGATTTCTACCAGTAAAATTTCTACCAGTAAAATGGAAATCAGAAATCTGATAGAGAAATTCCTTTTTTTCTTTATTCGTAGACAGTTTTTAAGATGATGTAGTATGTTTTCTAGCATCTCTCTTTAATCTATACTAAATTATAGTATGTAATTTCTATACAGAGAAGGGCTGTATGGAAAAGAGTTCCTTTCTGCCACCCAGGAATCATTTCCATACATGCTTTGAAGGAAGCACTGAGTGATATGGCCTGACACAGTGCTCCTTTCTTTAGGATTTTAGTTCTTCAGGTAATTCTCAAGTACCTCCTAACTTGAGTTGCACCACGTCTACAGGTGTAAAAAGTTGCTTCTAAATTTAAGTAATCCCTTTTAAACCTGTCTGTTAAAAGTCCTGCTGATGTACAGCCAGCTAATATTCAAGACTACTTCTACGGTGAACATACAGACACAGCTTTTTAGGGCTGTTCAAGAAAAGGATGAAAGCTTCCAACTTACCTTCTTCTGTAATAAGAAAAAGGTATTCTGAAGGCTGGGTGTATAGGCTCAGCCCAGTATCGCCTCGACAGCTGTGACTGAAAAGAAAATAATCTTTGTTTCAAAAGTTAAACCTTTTATTTCAAGCATCTTTTGAGGTTTCTTAAAGTCATTCACTTCCTTAGATCAGTTCTTCTAACCTGAAGTTCCAGATTCCAAGGCTAACAATGCTTTCTTTCCAGCGTTGCTGCTTCCAAGGCTTGTATTGTACCAAGCACTAGATGGATGAATAACTGACATAAGCTGCATTGCTGCAGCTATGCCAGAAAAATTAGAATTTATTTTTAAATGGATTTTGGAGAGGGAAGGGAAGAAAAAACAACAAAAGATGCAGGTAGACAACGAAGAATTATAATATTTATAGCTTATATAATAACAACACCCATTTTGGAGCACTTCAAACTTGGCTTTCAACACAGCCATTTAACTGAAGGAAAAAATAATAGTGTCAGACAACACTTGGTAATGTCACTTCTTGGGAAAGGAAGTTCTAACTGACTTAAATGTGAAGTGTTAAGTGTGATGTTTTGTACAGCAAGGACTATAATCTCATGGAAATACAACCCATGATTGCATATCACCTATATATTGGTTTCCTGATGCTGTAACTTACAGTATAATTTGTGTAACTTGTTAGAGGCCACTTGTGTGGAAAATACACAAATAAGGGAAAAGGTAAATTTGCTTTTCGATCTTAATTCTAAAGGCAAATTATTTTTTTAAGAACAAATTAATTCTCTTTCCAAAAGAACTGTTTCATCTTTGTGAAAATGGTTCTTACTTCACCTCTTACCAACACCACTCTATGTATACTTGTTCTGTATGCAGCTATTACAGAAGATCAGCTGTTCATCTTAATGTATTTTTGTGCACATTACTAAAGCAGCATAAGTTGTATTTTACCAAGTGACGTCTTCCATGTGCAGTTCTGCTGTAATACTAAAAATAAATTATTCCATGAAAAGGTGGGAATTAGGAAGGGGTTTACTCTCATGTGCCTGTTTGTCAGTTTTAAGTAGCATGGCCAGTAACTTTCTGCTCTGTACTTCTGCCAGATTCTCCTTCCCCCACTGCTGCAAGAACACTGACGCTGGTCGCCAAGTCTGTGCAGAATTTAGCAAATCTGGTTGAATTTGGAGCCAAGGTGACTATCATTTTACACCCATAGCACAGTAGAGAACCGTTCCCAGTACATTTCAGTGTTCCTTTGTAACACATGCAAAAATCTGTTGTATTTTCTCCTGCAAAGCCTGACACATGGTCTGTTTGTCCTCATCAGCAAGGAGGCCTCATTACTGCAGTTTTGTTTGCCTTCTTCATTTAGAGCTAAAGGGGGTGTTAATCTGACCCAGAGCAGTAGCATCAAGTCTGGTCAGATTGGGAAGGGGAGTCATAATCATTTGAGAAGAGGTCATCTATAAACTCATGTTAATGCCTTGGTAGATTCCACCAAGATTTTGAATCTTTGGTAGGAACACCAGCAATAGTCTGTTAAAATAATTGATGAATGAATGACCATAACACTAGGTATTATAGTGTGATGCAACCATATGTTGATGCCATGAGAACACAGATAGACTCAGCAGGTACCTGTTCCAAAGACAACCCTGGGAGTCTGCGGAACATTCTTTTTTCCATGTGCAACAGAAAAGCTAGCAGTCATACTTGAGTATTTCCTGTGTTAGAGGGGATCAGAGGCGGAGGAAGGGCAGTCAGCCATCCCACCACAAGCATCCATTATGGTAAAACAGGCGCGTTTTCTTTTGGAATATCCATATATCAAAAAGACATTACAAGAACTGCTAGAGCATAGAGAATCAGAAGGATAAATACTCTGCCTTAAATAAATTATGGGAGATTTTTTTGCGTTTTGATTGATTATTTGACAGCAAAGGGGAGTCATCTTCCAGTAATACTGGTGTGTTTCCATACACAACCTTGAAATGTATTCCACACCTGTGCTCTGTCTCTATATAGTAATTAATTTTCAGACTGAGACTAATCAGGCCTAAGTTCCCAGCTTGATATAGGTGATCTAATCCTGAAACAATCGAAGAGCTGAATTTTCTTCCTCTCCCACTTTCATCCTGCACTTAATTCTTTTTATATTGGTGTGTTCTGTTGTACAGCACTTCAAAGCACCTCTTTCGCTTGCACTCACTTTCATTTTTCTATTGATAGACATAAATAATTAATGTTGTAAATCAAGTATATATATTGCACCAAGAAGACACAGCTTTCAATTAAGTTTCTGTAATAACACTAAGAATGACAGCAACAACTGGTCTGTCTGTGTTACCACACCAAAACATGGCTGAAAAATAAATCTGCTGATTTAGGTATAATGCAAGTGACTTCAGGGAGGTGTTATAAAGTTATTTCTCTAACACACATAACTTGGAATGTAAGCATTAATGGAAGAACAAGGATCATAGCTTTAAAAGTAGTAGAGCTTTCACTGCAGCTGGGTACCAAAAGACATTTGCCTCAGTGCAAATTCACACCAGTAGACATGTACAAGAAAGTATTTGAGTTGGAGATCTGATTCTTCTAAGAAAATATTGAATTCTGTAGTCTTCTGAGTGGCTGCACACACATGCATTTGAAATTCACTTGAAAAGATAAAATCACTTCAGACTACACACGTTCTATGCAGTGTTATTTGACTGCACTGTTTATGGCAGGTGTGGCAATTATCTTGGCATTGATTGGGGTGTTTTTTTTCTAATAAATACTTCTAAAATTTACTAGGAGCCATATATGGAAGGGGTGAATCCATTCATCAAAAGCAACAAACATCGCATGATCATGTTCTTGGATGAACTGGGGGTAAGTGGTTAAAAAAGATCTTTAGTGGAAGTTACACAGCAGCACTGTAAGTAAACATTCTTTCCACCTCTAATCAACTAGCTCAGAAATGCATCAGCACCCCCACAGTTTTGAGTGCTTGTAACTGAATACACTTTTCTTATGCAAACACTAATCTTTTAAAATAGGTTTTAAACCAAAATTTTTGCTAAATAGCTTTTCCTATGGTTTTGACCAGAGATGGAAATTATTCTTCTTCTTTAAAAAATACAGGTTGAGTTTCAGCTGTGCTTTACCAGATGTGTCACTGCATCCATTGTACATACTGTAGTTTGAAGGTGAACTGCAGTTACAGGCTTCTTTCAAACTGCTGGTGTTTTGTAAATGACAGCTGTAGCAGGAGTTAGGTCCTCATGTTATACATGTCTGGTTCTAAACCAAAAACTCGTTTTGAAAACCATGACGACAAAAATGAGTTGATCTTACTGAATTGATCCCCTAAAAGTCACCTGCAAGACATGTTTGATATATACTTCATATACGTACATATTTTGATAAGATGTAAAATACTCAGATACCAAAAGTAAAAATGAGTGTGGCATTTGGGTAGGTTGCCATATGTTACCTTTTTCTGGTTAAATTGCAGCTTCTTCATACTATGATAGGTCAGTTTCAGATGGTGAGCTGTAGACAGTGTAAAAATTACAGGTTTTGCACAAGGGCTCTGAAAATAGTTGATTTTCAGAAAAACGTGAAAACATGTGTTGATTAATCTGCTGGTTTAATTACAACATTATTGGTTTATGACCAATTTACTGAGTTGCGGATTTTACTGGGGTTTTTTTTGTTGCTCTTCTCTCAATTTTGACTGTTGGGAAAAAGCAGCTAATGGATGGAGAAGTGGAGACCTCATAGCAGCCTTCCAGTATCTGAAGGGTCCATACAAGGATGCTGGAGAGAGAGTCTTTATCAGGGACTGTAGAGTTAAGACAAGGGGTAATGGGTTTAAACCCATTCCTCATATCAGATTAGATATAAGGAAGAAGTTCTTTACTGTAAGGTTGTACTGTGTGATTCTATGATCCCCTCTCATTTAGGGGAAGGTTGTGAGTCGTATGTGGTCATCTCAGTGGTGGTGTAGCACTACCAGATCTTCCAGTAAGAGCCCTTCCAGCAGGAGTAAAAATTGTAGTACACATCGTTCATAGTAGAAAGATGGGAGATATAGCTGGAGGGATTATCATCACAGTAGGTGTTTGTGGTGCGCAACAACACTGGCAGTGGAGCTGTAACTTACCCATGTGCACCCTAAACCTGTTCTTTGACTTCTTCTGTTGAAGAACGTTCCTGAGCTTCCAGACACTACCGAACACTCGAGGACTGACCTGTCTCGCGACCTGGCAGCCTTGCACGAGATCTGCGTGGCACACTCAGATGAGCTCCGGACACTCAGTAATGAGAGAGGTGTGATGCAGGTAAACACCAATGGCTAACGAATGAGTCTCTTTGGATACTGATAGCATGTCTGGAGCTAAAGCATAGTATCAATTTGACTTGATAAGTGTTTGTAAGCTTCTGCCATTCACTAGGAGGTTGTTAGTTGTGAACGTAGATGCTTAGTCCATAGTTTTGTTTCTTCATGCAACAAAACCAAAGAGGGTTTGGTTTTAGTTTCCAGAGGAAGTTTTAGTTTCTACAGGAAGCCTAAACCCACAAAACTGCTGTCTCCTGATGGGCTCTCTGGATCATTTGTTTTCAGATCTTTTCCCACTTGAGAACTAAACTTACTTTGGCTAGCTTTCTGTTGATGCCTCGTTTCTGCTTCCTACCTTGCCAGTACACTTTTGAACAAACCTGGCAAGCGCTTCTTACAAGGGTTAGAAGGACACTTTCTTAGCCACAAAGCAGCAAATAGGTCTGTGAATGGAAAGACAGGAGTTGGCAACACTGTTTTTTTTAAGGTAATGTCATACTGTCAAATTATCTGTTTCCTTTTTTAATTGTTTTTGCTTGCAAGGGAGAAGCTGTGGCTGCCCCATCCCTGGCAGTGTTCAAGGCCAGGTTGGATGGGGCTTGAAGCAACCTGGTCTAGTGGGAGGTGTCCCTGTCTGTGGCAGGGGGTTGGAACTGGATAAGCTTTAAGGTCTCTTCCAACCCAAACCAGTCTATGGTATTGTAAACTACCTAGCAGCAGGTCTGATAGGCTAATGCTGAAGATGCTTCTCAAGCACATGACTCTTCTTGTCTCCAGTGGCTAACGTACAGTTTTACTGACTCTTTCCACATGCAGCATGTTCTTAAGAAGCTGTTGGCTATTACAGAACTGCTTCAACAAAAACAAAATCAGTATTCAGTGTCTAATAACATCAGGTAGCAGTCCTCTACCCGAATTCTGCATGGATCCAGCATGTCTAACATGGGAACCCATCATTTTTTCTGCTCTTGCCAAAAATAGCACACCTTGTCACGTTCCCAGTGACGTGTGAACTGTGCAAAAAGACAACAAAGATTTGGTTAGTGAATAATTTTACCATCAGCTTTTTAAACTCTCTGTGCAAGATATTTGCACTTTTTTTCCACTTGGAACAAGTTTTTACAGCCTCTGAGCCTTGGTGTACAGTTTACCTTCTGCAAAGAAAATGCTGTGACTGTCATGAACTTTGAAAATTGTTTTCAATGCCTACAATTGCCAAAGTTTTTCTGACTTGTTGGAAGAGGATCATCAACTGACATGAAGTGTGTTGCTTTGACAGCCACATGTACCTGGATAACATTTCTTACTGTAATTTCTGACTGGATACACTTGTGTCTTTGACTGTTTCAACCACTTGAATTTGTATTTACAGTTTTCAGAGTTTGATGGTTATGGTAAGATCAATCTTCCCTGTGTACTTTTTATACCATGCTCTTTCCCTTGCTGAAATAATGTCAAAAGAATATGTAGAAGGGATCTTGTCAGCTTTATTCTTTAATGTGCCACTGATTCAGTCTGAATAGTTCTTCCATCAGGAACTGTGTATCCAGATAAATCACAATGCTTTTGTAAAATGTTTACAACAGTGAATAATTAGAATTCAGTAACTTTATTAGCACTGTATCATACATGAATGAGTCCATTAAACCATTTTATAAAATATTTATTGGTTGGTCTTGTGTGTGCATCAATATTATTTTTATAAGTGAAAAGACAAGTTTTTAAAAATAAATCAAGCTACAGATCAACTCTTGATGGAAACTGGCTCTGACTTTGGCTGCTGTGGAAATTTTTTACCGTGTCTTCACACAATGCACTTTGAAATGCTCACAAGGTGTCTCTTCTTTAGCATGAATTCTCCAACAGTGTTACCTTCTCCATGTACCTTAATGTGTGCATTCTTTTCACAGAACAAGAGAGACAATGTTAGATCTGCGTCATGGATGGAGTCATACACTCGTATGAGAGTGATATAAAGGAGTGAGTTCAAGTTCAGTGGTAAATGTGACAGTGGTTTAACAAGCTTCAGTGGCAAGGTGCACTTGAGTATTTACTGAATTAGAGGACAGGAAAATGTCAGGGAGATCCTCCTGTTGAGTCATGAGGTGCAGGAAGACCTCCCTGCATTCCAGACTCTTCCATGGAGAGGAGTCAAGGTATGGCTCCACCCAGACTTACCCCCAGAGTTGGTCAGCAGTTTATGCTTAAAGGATATATGCACATTCAGTCTCTCATATCCTTTAGCTGAGGTTTTATAGTTTCAGTGTGCTTATTCCCTTGCTGAGCATCTGATGTGGCAAGGAACCTCTCTACCTTCAGCAATGACCCCAAAAGTTGTCCCTACTCAAGGGGAGATCCTGGCATGCTTAACAAGCCCTGGGCTGTCCACTAGGTTATGACATTTATGTTACAGAGTCTGTTATGGGCTCCATAACAAATGCAGTGAGATAACTGACTCAACTCGCATTTTCATACCAGACATACTCCAGCTGATGTGGGCTCAACTCACTCCTGAGCCAGTGGTACAGCCCTGAGCTGTGGTGGTGTTTCTCATCTCTGGCTGGGTGCAGCCATCATGACCAACGCTGGTGGCTGTTGCTTAAGCAGAAGAAAGGAGCAAGCTGCCACAAACTGTTAAAACCATAAAATACGGAGTTGATTCTGTGGGTATTTCAGCATCAACATTTGTAACTTCTCTAGGCAGTGAGTCAGGAATAAAAGGATGCTGAGACTGATGGACAAAGCAATTGTGTAACAGGAACACAACTGTTACACCTTTAGAACCACCACACTATCTCCTGTCTACAAGAACTGCTTTTTCCACTCGTAACTCATGCAGGCTTTCTCTTTGGGTCTCTGCTGCAAGGTCACTGCACATCCTCAGCCTGCAGTGGACCCTTGTGGGGCTGGCCAGGTTCCTGCAGTGCTGTAGCTGAGGGTTCCTGATCTTCACAGTTGGCAGAGAGGTAATGCAAGATCTTGGTGTTACTGAATTGTTTTTCAGATCATCCCATAAAGCTTCTGTTTTAACCTATGGCTGTCATGCCTGTAATAAACCGTACCTCAGAGGAAAAGGTTAATTAACAACCTTGTTCTCCCTCTATACACCTCCCAGTTTGCAGTTCATTCTGTGTGACGAAGTAGTCCATGCTCTGCTTTCAGATTCCAGCCCATTCAGGACCTCAGCACATGACTTCAGCTGTGCTCAGTCACACTTTCTCTCCTGGATGACATGAGTGTTGTGCAAATGGTGCCAGGCATGGCGTGAAGCTGTGATACCTGCATTCCTTCCCTCACCAGTCGGCCAATGGCCCAGGTACAGAAGGATGTGTCAAAACCAGAGTGGCTAAATGCAGCTGATGAGCTGTAGGCAGTGTAAAAATACAAACTGTGAGAATACATTTGGCTGGCTATATGCCCATTACATATGGACTGACAAGACTGAAACTGAGAAAGTCCTGATGCTATGCTTAGGTGTGTGTTTTATGAAACTGTATGATGCTCTAAAACAGGGTACTGAAAGGAAATAGACTTTGCTGTAGATGTGGAAGACATCGAACTGCTTAGGAGGACTTCAGAAATACTCTTACCCTGAGGTAAGTTAAGCCACAGCAATCCCACCTGAGATCACAACAGTAAAGTCAGAGGTGTGATTATGACTTCCCATACTGTAAAGTATGTTGCTGCAGCCTCCCAGTGCATGTAACAGCTTCAAAGGTACCAAGTGTTACAGCCATAGCTGTGCTCGTTCAGGTGTTCCAACAAGCTTGGGAAGAGGGGAGGACATCCTGCTCTAAAGCACAGATGGGCCTGTTGCCCCTGGCTTGTGTTTAGTCACTTCAATAAATGCCCAGTCAAAATCAGCTACTGCCACTCTGTGTTCACACCTCAAAACTGGTCCTGAACCAAAACTCTTCTGAAGTGTCAGATCTCTTAAAGAAAACAGGTCTTAGAGCACAAAGGTCAAAGGAGGTGATGTTGCCCCTCTGCTCTCGTGAGACGCCACTTGGAGTACTTTGTGCAGTTCTGGTGTTCTCAACACAAGGACATAGAGCTGTTGGAACAAGTCCAGAGGGGAGCCAAAAGCATGATCAGGGGCTGGAGCACCTCCTGTATGAAGAGAGGCTGAGAAAGTTGGGGCTGTTCAGCCTGGAGAAGGCAAGGCTGCGTGGAGACCTCATAGCAGCCTTCCAGTATCTGAAGGGAGCCTATAAGGATGCTGGGGAGTAGCACTTCACCAGCAACTGTAACAATAGGACAAGAGGTGATGGGTTCAAACGTAATCAGGGAAAGTTCCAGTTAGATAAAAGAGAAGAAGCTGCTTACTGTGAGGGTGCTGAGGCCCTGGCACAGGCTGCCCAGAGAAGCTGTAGCTGCCCCATGCCTGGCAGTGCTCAAGGCCAGGTTGGATAGGGCTTGGAGCAACCTGGTCTGGTGGAAGGTATCCCTAACTGTGGCAGGGGGTTGGAACTGGATGGGCTTTAAGGTCCCTTCCAACCAAAACCAGGCTGATTCTATGATTCTTACTGATGTGTGACCTTGAATAGATGAAGGTTTAGTGGAATTAAATCATTTTAGTGAATTAAAATGCTTTATTAAAAAACAGCAGAATAAATACCTCATGACAGAAAGTAAAAAGTGTGGCAGAAAGGTTCACAAGACGCTTTTCTGTTGTGGTCAGATTCCATCTTTCTTCAAGGTTACATTGAGTCCACAAAATCATCATCAGTCCACTCTTCCTAATGGAAGCAAAAACAGCAACACCTTGAGCAGTGTGTGAATTTAGTGTATTTTATACTACAGTGTATCAGGCAGCATGTAAATGTAGGTGCACAGCATATGCTGTCACAGAAACCTCTACTAGAAGTCAAACACAATTCAAGCAGCACAAGCAATTTCACAACTCTGAACTGTGCCTGCCATCAGTAACAGACTCAAACAGCAGTGTCAGACTGATCTAAAGCATAGCGCCTCTCTGCATGACTTGGCAGACCTGCCAAGTTCTGTCAGGATGTTCTTGTCAGGACGCTAGGCCCTGCTTGACTTGTAGGCTCCATTCTACTGCCACCTGGGTAGCAGCTGCCAGGCCTGGTTAACTGACAGGGCTAGCTCAAACTGGAAACAAGGAGGCTACACCGAAGTCACCCAATGAAACACGTTTGTGAAGATCCCCTTCAGATTCTCATGACATGCCTCAGCTAAGGTCATGGCCAAGAACTGCTAAATGACACTAAAGGTGTCTCTTCCCTGAGATTCCCCACAATCTGAATTCCTGCTCAGACTTTGCCACTGCTAAATGTGAGTGCAGTTAAAGGCATTGCTCTAGGTAGGTCATAGTCTAGCATGAGACTCCAATGAAGTTTTGATTCATGGGTTAATTTTAAATGTTTCCTGCATGCCTCTCCCAGGCAGTTCTATCCAGCATGCTCCAGAGCCTTTGCAGGGACTAAAACAGAAATAACAGCCAAGTAAATATATCACAGGGAAGATACACACACACACACACACACACATTTATTTATTTATTTATTTATTTTAGCTATTAACAGCTAATGCCAGAACACAGGACTGAAAGCCTCCTGAAACTAAGGCCTTTTGTTGCTTTCTGCTATGATCTTTATACCCAGGATTTAATGCCTAATAGAAGTATTCCAAACCAGAAAAAGGACTAAAATATTTAAACTAGTGGTGATGAAGCCCTTTAAACTTAAAGCTAGTTATCACAGACTGGTCTGGGTTAGAAAGGACCTTAAAGCTCACCCAGTTCCAACCCCTGCCATGGGCAGGGACACCTCCCACTACATCAGGTTGCTCCAAGCCCCGTCCCGCCTGGCCTTGAACACTGCCAGGGATGGGGCAGACACAGCTTCTCTGGGCAACCTGTGCCAGGGCCTCACCACTCTCACAAAGCTAAATCCATGCCTACTTTTCAAGTTATAGGGTCAGAATCACTTTAGCAGCTGCACATTTGAGCACCTGTATGAAGTTTAGCTCACACTTCTTCATGAACCACAACAACGTAGAGATTTCCCCAAGAGCTTGTATTTCAGCTTTTTCCCAGTATCCTGTGGGTTTTATGGGTTCTCCACTTCTATGGCACCTGAGTCAGCCATGCTTAACCACTATCTGTATGTTTCTTCTATCATTTCATATTGTATCATTTCCATACCAGTAACAGCCTTGACATTGGTATCAACTTCAGCTGTAAACAATTAAATCAAGAAACAAAATCTTGCAAGTAGATTAGAACTGATTGTGCACTTGCATACCACAGCCTAATTATTTAAAGAAATACATATATCATTTTGATCAGCTAACTACAGGATTAGTGAAGTCTCAAGGCTTAAGCAGTACACAGGCACTAAAAGCTTTCAAAAAGTTAAGCACACTTGCTCCTTTACATCCTGGCCAACTCAGATCTGCTCTTGTATGTGACAGTTACTCAGACATGAAATTATACAACTTCAAACCCTTCACAATTCAGGTGCACCAATATTTAAAAAACCTAGGTTTCAGGATCTGTTAACACTGTGCAAGTGCTTATCCTGAAATGCTGTAGGTGAATTTATCAAACCGGTTTATTTCTTAAAAAAAAAAAAGATTCTGAATATATGTTTATGAGAAAAACAACACAATATCAAAACACAGCAACAAACAAAAATACAAAATGCCTCAATCTACAGCAGCATAACTAAGATAAAAGGACCTTTAAATTAAACCAGGGAAGGGAAGGAGCAAGTCTCCAGAGCTCAGCAGAATCTGTTCTCTCACTCATTTTGTGAGAAAGTGGAAACCTATGGAAGTGAAAACACACATCCTGTATTTTATGTTAACAGATGGCCCTCTTCAGCTGTTAGCAAATTTTTCTAAATGCCATACTTAAGATGCCTTAGATCATCTAGATAGACAACATCTTCAGTATCAAGAGAAGTCCAGTTAAAAATAGTTCTTCACAAAGCTCCACCAGAATGCATAGCCTACAGCTTCCAGACAAAGTCATAAATAAAAGCTCTGAAAAGCATTCAGGTTAGTTCTGAAGGATTACCTTAATTCTGCTTTCATCTGCTTGGCAGCTCTCCTCAGTCCATCTCCACCTTATTTCTATTTGGTTCTTATAACCCGGGGTACTAGCTACCCAGCTGTAATTTATGCAAGTGTTCCTAGCAAACTGGCTGACGTAGAAATTCAGTCCAGCAGCTGACTTCTGCATTGTGCAAGCAGCAAAATAAAGCATTGAAAACAGTTCTAGAAACACTGGCCAGCAAGAAAAAAATTAAAATCAACACATAAAAACTTCCTTCAGAAAGCCTACTTTGTCTTTATTCCAGCATATACTCATTTATTTCATCCATAATTCTGAGTTTCCACCTGTAAAGCTGGAATTTCCCCACAAGTGTTCAGTTCCTGGCTTTTCAAAAACTCCATCACAGCACTCCAAACCTCAGTCACACAGCTATTCCCCCTCACTGGCATCATGGGAGTTTCCCCTGCTGAAGGACGAATCTTGATGCTGGTCTGTGGTTTGTTAAAATAACTTCAATGCTCAGAGAACAGCAGCAAGTATGGCCTGCATGTTCCTTCCCCTCCCCACAAAAGATGGGGGTATTTAAGAACCCTCCTAAGTACTGGATATATGTATTATGCCTCACAACACATAAAAGAGTATTAATGGGTACAGAAGTTTGTCTCAGTAGCTGTGTTGCTTTTGTCATGGCAGTTAGAGTGGAAAAAAAAGTACTTGTGTCATGGTTTAAACCTAGCCAGACAGCTTGTTCACTCACTTCCCTGCCTTCTTGCCCTCCCCCTGCTGCTGGAGGGACGGAGAGGAGAATCAAAAAGAATGCAACTCCCACTGGTTGAGCTAAGAACAGTTTAGTAACTAAGGTATAACACAAACCACTACTGCTACCACCAATAATAATAATGATAAGAGAAATAACAAGGGAAGAGAATGCAACACCTCAGCACCAGCCGACCAATAACTTGGCCCCCCCAGCCCGACCAAACACCAACTGACACCTCCTCCAACCCCACAGTCCACAGTCCTTCCGGGTCACTCCCAGTTACATCCTGGGCATGACATGCTGTGGTATGGAATACCTCTTTGGTCAGTTTGGGTCAGGTGTCCTGTCTCTGCTTCCTCCCAGCTTCCCTCCTCCCTGGCAGAGCATGAGGCCCACCAAGTCCTTGGCCAAACCAAAACATCATTGTTTTCAGCTCTGTTCCCAGGCCAAAAGTCAAAACACAGCACTGCACCAGCTACCAAGAAAGAGAAAAATGACTGCTACTGCTGAACCCAGGACAACTTGTAAAACAGGTTTACTGACCTCATCCATTTTAGGTTTCTTTGCAACATATTCATCATCTTCATAACCTTTCCTCTTCTTCCTAACCCCCAAGCAGAAAAAAAAAAATTTATAGGTCAGTCTCCTTATTTGGCCACAAAATTAAGATTATGGACCTATCATAAAAAACCTCCAGTGCTTAAACTAGGCAGCTTGCTAGAAGTCTACAGTGGGCAGCAAAGTGAAAAGGGCAGAAAAGAAAATCATGAAATTCTATGGCATCAACGTAAGTGTTAAGAAAACATTAACCCTTTACACAATTCTTATTTTAATCATATGATTTTAAAGCCCTTGATTCTACGTATGACATCAAGTGGGCAGACCTTAGAAGCCACCAGGGTTTCAAATGCTCTGTTACAAAATAATCAGTATTGGAGCTTGCAAATTAGTTTGTGCAAATCAGCACAAAAGAAGATATTTATGTATTACTGGAAGCATTGCTTTTGAATCTTGGTTCTCAGATTCCAGCAGACACTTGCACAATAAGAATGTGAACAGACGTCCTGGTGTATGTATTTAGATGTTTTCACTCTTCATCCCTCACACAGAGAAAACTAATGTTTCCATAGCAACAAAAAGGGCAGAAGTTTAACATCAAAGAGTTACTTACGAGTTGGTATTAAGTAAAAGATCCAAGCTGTGACACTTCTCCAGTTTCTGTTTTAGAGCAACAACCTCTTCAGGCTTTGGCAGCTCATATTTCCTTATAAGATTGTTCATGCCTACAATGGCAACAACACAGCCCTAAGCACATTAAATAATTTCTGCTCTACCTTGTTGTACAGGGTTTGCATGGAAAGTTTTTGGCAGTGGGGGAGTACAGAAGTGCCTTCTGTGTGAAGTTACTCGAAGCTTCCCATGTCTGATAGAGACAATGCAGCCAGCTACAAGACAGGCCATGGCTGAGCACCTCAAGAACAGTGACAGCACCGCTGGGAGAACATATACAGGGAAAAAAAACCTGCACAACTGCAGCTGGAAAAGAGCCATGAGCATATGTGACAGCAACAGCCCTGCAGACCCCCAGGTCAGTGCAGAAGCAGGTGGAGGCTGTGCTCCAGGTGCCAGAGCACAGGTTCCCCTGCAGCCTGTGGTGCAGACCATGGTGAGGTAGGATAGACTCGTGCAACCCATGGAAGACCCCACTGTTTTGAAAGCATCATATGTAGCTTTTAAAACAGAGTCAAAAGACACCTGACACAGAAAGCTCACAACATAAAAACCTTGTTTGTCAAAGCAAGCATCAGACATTCAAAGTATTAACTCCCCCTAACTGCTTGCTTACAGAACTTCCCATCCTACCAGCACTAAAACTTTACAGGATCAAAAAGACATAACTATCATCTTATTCCAAGTATTAGTTTTAAATAACATTAAGGTACAGCTGAAGCCGAGCACAAGAACTACACTGAAACAAATCATTAGCATCGTTGATCTTGGATTTCCTCAAGGTAAGTTATAGCAATGTAGAGTTCATGTTTCTCTGCTAACAAGCCTCAGAAAAGCAGAGGCATTTTTCACATTCAGCATCGTACCTCCTTCTTAAGTAAAGACTGCTTTCAGTCTTGTTAAGAATTAAACCTAAATTTACAGCTACCCTGCAAGAAACAAGATTTTTTTAATCCTATCAGCATTTTTCTGTTAAACTAATCATACACAGAGGTTACAAAATTTCTTTTCAGGAATCATTTGTTTACAAAAGAGCTGCCTTTGGGCTGAAGCTACCTTCCAGGATAATGCAAGTAAAGAGTAAGTGATCCCAGCATTTCCTTTGCATCGTAGCAATGGAAACCTGAAGACTGAATTTGTTAGCAGGAAGAGAAAGGGAAGAGCATCTTAAGTTTTATAAATTCAATTTAAATTTAGTTGCAGATCCTAGTGATTTGTATAGTGCATTCTCTACTACAGTCAGTTTAATCAAAGGACTGCATTTTTAATGCTATCACCCTCCCATTTTAAATGAGCGCATTACATATTTATTCACTTATTGGAAATGTTGTATCCCAGCTTTTTTAATTCATTTAGAAATGGTAATAATCGGTATACTACATTCCCCATTATCTGAGCTAAATCATGCTGGCATTCTTATTATTTTTATCTATATATTTCTCACACTAGCAAACCTAAACATCTTTTGAAACATCTTTCCTGCTGCAAAACAGAAGTGAAATACAAATTCTGGCTAACCATTTAGCTTAGAAAAGATACCCTCTGGTGGCAGAAGTAGTTATGTGCAGGCTTTTTAATTTTTAAGACACAGCAACTGAAAAAGTTATTTCATCCCGATCTACAAAGCCCATAACCTAGTTCCCAAAACAAAGTTCTCACTTTGTAGCCATCTCCTAGCACTTAACTGTCTGTAGCACTTATATTCTCAGAAGCATCAGGCCTTTTGGCTTTCAGTTTTATTTGTTCGTATCACTGGAAAGCCTCACTGTCTCCCTTTGCATCCACAAGCTGAGTAGTTCATTCTACCGCCCGTGTTTTACTCATCTTACACATGCAACCAGGTAAAGAAAAGCCCTTGAAGCACAACCTTCTGCTTAAAGTTTCTGTTGTTTGTTAAAAGCTGTTTTCCCTCCTTTAGAAATACTGTTTATCATATTTTCCCAATGTTTACTTACATTTCATGCCATCTAGTAGCTTTGCCAGGGCTGTTCTGTCTTCTTTTAGCTTAAGACTTTCTGATAAATAACTGCAAAAAGACATGGAAGAGTAAGTCCTTACATTAAAATGTTATAATTATTTGTAGCAGCTAAAATTAGTTAATAAAATATGTATTATTCATTACCTACACCCGCTAGAGCTTCATGATTACACCTAGCAAGAACACTTTGGTTATACAAGTGCTATAAAATGATAAAAAAGCAAATCTGTAATTTGCAACATTCTTCTGTAAGAATATGAAGAAAGCATTCCCCTGCCATGTATGGAATTGGATTTGAGCCTCACTGTGTTAAGTCAATTTACATTTAAGACTGTCAAGTGTCATGTTAACATCACGCTATTACACAGTATGACTGCTGGAAAAGGCAATAGTACAGAAGTGTTCAGTCAGACCAAGAGACAGTAAAGTTTGCAAGACAGAATAACTTCTTTAGGCAGATGAAAGCAAAGGCTTAAAGCTGTCTTGTAAAAGCCTGTGCATCCCTTCCTCTTCCCTCAGATTCCAACTTCCTTTCAGTAAGAACATTAGTACATACACCTCCTGAGTAAAACACCAAGACATGTAAGCAACAAACCTCAACAGGACTGGCAATAACCAAGTAGTTATATGCCTTCCCAGGGAATGTACTTATGGATAAATTAAAAAATTCAACAACTCCAAAGCATATCAACCTGTTCAGTCTAAGCTCAAATTTACTTCATTTCTGACATTATCAGCTGTATCAGCTGCAGGTCACAGACAGATGCACCAGCCACCACAAAGCTGGTATCTGCTCTCTTAACACCAATGCTCTTGTAGAGCTCAAATTTAAGAGTATTATTTAACTTTGTGCTAATACCAGAACTGAAGATTAATTTGAAGCCATCTATTAGCCAAAGCACCTGTGTTTTCCTGAACCCTTCACTTTTTCAAGACTGAACTATACACTGAAGGTCACAGCAGCAACAGATTTTAAAATCTTCCACGCTTTGTCTCACCCTTGCAGGTGTGTACCTACCCACACGTCCACAAGACCTGAGCTGCAGCATTAGCTTCTCTCATACCCAGCATGTGAAACTCACATAAAATAATAAATGACAAGGTTATAGCAACAGTATGGTACAGACGGGTGACAAAGACTTCCGCTCTTCACAAATATGCAAAGACATAACTTGATTCACACATTATCTACAAATTATTCTAGTTCTTTTTGTAGGCATGCTTTTCTGAATTTTGGCACAAATAGTACAGAATACATGTTTAGGAATGAAATCCAACAAGTTTCAAGTCACAGTAAACATCTGAATGTTTTTACACTCTTCGGACAGTCAGCGTTGTGGAGGACACTCCTACACCGTCTTGCTCTTTCAGAACAAGAGAGATCTGATACTCATTTAGAGCAGATGGAAGTGAAGTACCTTTAAAAGGAACCATCTGCATCCTGCAGCAGACCCTGCTGCCTGCAGTTGGTACACTCTAGGTGCAAATTGCTCACACAGAGCATTATGTGATTAAAACACTCCAGCTGCAGCTACTTACAGCAACTACCTCAGCTGTTTTCTGAAAGGAGTGTGTTTTGTCCTTAAAAGGAAAGAAACCAAATCAAATATGCATTTCAGTAATGATATCGAAGTGTTTGATAATACCTTTGAAAACACCAGTGGGTAGACAAAAGAAAGGAAGAAGGGACTGATTTAAAACAGCACTTACATGCTGTTTTAAAGGGACTGACACTATTTAGTCCATTTCCATGGAAACTGAACAGATGCACCAGTCAAATACAACCCTCAGTTTCCACATACGTAGCAGCTGTCATTTCAGTGTAATTTCATTTAACTGCAAGCTGATATTAAAAAAAAAAAACCCTAAGATTTTTAAGGTAAGTGATTCCTTAAGTGTTCCAATACTCTCAGTTTCTACTGTGTTCCCACATTCTTCACTCTGACCTTCAAGATGAGTCTGAAAATCCTGGGCTGCTCTAATTTTAGGGCAAAGTCATCCATTTGTTTTTTGTTTTTTTCCTTTCTTCAAAATTTAAAACCATATACTAAATATTGCATTTGTCACCTACATTTTGAAAATGGAGGGAAAAAAACCCAAAACAAAGCCAAAACACACAAAAAAAACAACCAACCAAACAACAACAAAAAACCACCACACACAAACCAAAATAAAAAACCAAACAACAGAAAAAAAAATATCAAAAACAAAACCCCACCAACCAACCAATCAAAATCAGCATTGCTTCAGTTTTGGAATATATTTAAAGAACACATCAGAGTCAGTAAATACACACTTGTACTACTTAAGAATGTCTATAATCCAACTATTTTATACAGGAAGCAAATAAGAGGTTTAAATCATACCCATAATGAAAATATTACCTTTCCATATTAATTCCTGCTCTTGAACCACTGGATAATATAGCAGCAAGAGCTATCTGTGAGGGACTGAACAGCAGGTATGCATCCGTCAGAGCCACTCGACTGAGGAAGTCATCAGCTGTTTTCCTCAGAACTTCAGGATTCTCCAGCACTGGATAGCGAGTCTGAAAGGAAGTATTCGGAAAGTAAGTAGATGTTCCTTGCCTTCTTGTTCGTGAGCGCAGACCACGTAATTCAATAGTACTTAGTAACGCTAAAAAGTAACAGACCATGTGGCTTACAGCCACAACTTGAGACAACTAAACCAACTTCCTCCCAGATACCTGCCTATCACTTTAGAAACTAAATCTTTTACAATCGTAGGCACAAAAGCAAATAAAGGTTTTTAACACAACCCATGATGGATTTGTATTACGTCAGTATACGGGGTATGTAGCACATTAAACAGTATTACCTTTAGATCGATTAGAAATCCCTCAAATGGCCTGTATGGATTATGGACAATAAGATGGAAGTTCAGCTGCTGAATAAGCAGTAGCTCATATTCCAGTATTTGCTCAAGAGCTTTTTCCTGTCCGGCAGGGCTTTCTCGAAGGTTACCAACAAACTGTGCACTGGATACATTAAATTCATCCACTTTACAGGCCAAAAATACACATGTCAGCCTTCAGGAGAGAAAAAAGGAAAAAAAAGTATCGACATACGTAGTATGCAGCTTCTTATCAACAGCCCTGTTCGGAAAATGTTTATCTTCAAAACACCATATTCTGAACATAAAAAACTTCCAAATGGAAACTGGAAGTGACCATACTTTGCCGTTACTTGTATTTAAGCTCTCAGATGTCCTTTCTCATTTTTTCAGGTCTTTACAGGTACAAAGATTAAACCTCCAATATTTTGCTTGACAGAATAACTCAAGATGCACTGGTAACTCACATTATTATCCGAGGATGATACTCCATCACTGAGTTATTGAGGTAAAAACGTTTGAAATACATGGAAGCTGTTCCCTAGATTAAAAAAAAAAACAACACACACACACAAAAAAACAAGGGAGGGAAAAGTAAGTGTAGAAGCAAAAACAGATTAAGAAAAAAGAAATATAAACTAAAAAAAAAAATAAATCATGAAACAGAATAGGCATGTTTGAATATATACTACATATATACAGGATACACTAAGACCATTTGAAAGTCTAATACATGTATGCCTGCAATATTTATGTTCAAAAAGCCTGTAATATCTTCATGAGAAAAATGTGAAACTTACATGAAGTTCAAAAATCAAAGACTGAAAAGGATTCTGAAAGCTGTGAATAGTCCCAGGCAGAACATCTTTTTTAGATCAGTAAGTTTCCCAGTGTGTTTAACAATCATGCTTCCCTGTGTCAAGAAGTACTGCAGCGAATGGTCTGAATGCCATCGGCATGAAAGCAGATGTTTTCCGTAACCATTACTTGGCAGCTCTGATCCAACACACATACTCTAACAAGGGTGTCTTGATTTCAGCGGTAATAGTTGGTTTTTTCCTCTTTGCTAAGTAGCTGGTGCAGTGCTGTGGCTTGGCTTTAATCTGAGAAAAACACTTGATAACACACCGCTGTTTTTAATGTTGCTCAGTAATGCTTACCCTGATCAAGGATTTTTCAGTCTCACACTCTACCAGGAAGGAGGGGAAGATGGGAGGAAGCAGAGAGAGGACAACTGACCCAAACTAGCCAAAGGGGTATTCCATACCAAAGCACGTCATGCCCAGTATATAAACTGGGGGCAGTTACCCGGAAGGTTAAAGCCCTACTCCAGTCGGGCCGAGTATCAGTTGGCAGCTGGTAAGCCATCACTTGTGCTTATTGTTTTTTCTTTCTCTTTTAGTTTTATATTCTCTCACCTTGTTCTTTTCCTTATTAATAGTAGTAATTTTGTATTGTACCTTAGTAATGAGAGGGTTCTTATCTCCGCCCGTGGGAGTTACATTCTTTCAGTTCCCCTCTCCAGCCCTCTGGGAGGCAGGGGGGGGAAAGGGAGTGAGAGAATGGCTGCATGGTTCTTGGTTACCCGGCTGCACTCAAACAACAGCAGTCCTTTCTGGCTTAAAGGGCTGAGATAACGACAGATCTGACCAGAGTGTGTCTAATTGTATTTGTGATAAGCATTCATTCTTTTGGATTAATAGTCACTTGCCACAATGCTGATTTACTGGCTCTCAAGAGTTGTTGTGCTTGGTCTCAGAGTTCCAGTATGTCACACCTTACTTGCAACCTGTACTTGCTGTTATAGTGTTTATCAGCTCTGGGGCTGGGGCTAAGGTTCTCATTTTGTTGTATTTTAAGACAATGGCTTGTGATACAACAGAATTATTGATCATGAAACTGATCTGGCATGCACTCTCAGCATGGCCACCACCTCTGTACTTTGGGAGGCATGTAATGGGAAATGTTAACAGTTACACCTCTTTTTTTCCCTGCCTTGGAGGACCAAACTGTGAAGGAGACATCTTCCCACACCTTCTGCCCCTCCCCCCCCCCAGGCTATTTACAGCAGCATTTGAGAATTTTAAGGATTTTTAATGTCTTTTGAGTACCCTTGAAACCAGTCTGCTCCTTTTGCTGGGAACCAGCATGCTGCTGTATGTGGTTTAGGTCTTGTCTAAGGTCAAATGATGATCTAACAATACCTCTAAGAGATCTTCCTCATGGCTGTACAGTCATGAGTGGCAGTATGTGTGGGACAGTATGGACAAGTACCCAGACCAGCGGCACCTTTGGAACGGACAGGAGACAATACAGATTATACATCATAATGGCTGGGTAACAAAAGCAGCACAACTTTATTCTCTACTACAGCTGTCAGCCCCCACTCTCTCCCTTCTGAAATGTGCTCAAGTTAAGTCATTCAAAGGTATTTTTCCCTTTACTCTTTAACCTCTATAGGTTAGTTTACTGCCAATAAAGCTTGCTTTGTGGTCACACAAGCATCAGTGCTTGAGAAACAACTAGGTGACAGCTCAAGTTTGGGACTGCCTCCTTTAGCTACAGTTAAAAGTTCTGGGGTAAAAGGTGGACCTGATGATCTTACAGCAGATTTCCTACCTCGTTGATTCTCTGATTCTATAGATAACACCGCCTACACTACCCTGAAAACAGAGTGAAAAAAGGGCTTGAAACACAGACTGCAGCATTGTCAGACAAAAAAATCTGAAGGATATCCAAAGGACACACAGGCTCCGCCGCTTACCACCACGGATCTCGGCATGGCAGGCTTGAAGACGGAGCAGAAGTCCAGCAGCCGCTTTTCGTAGTGCTTGCATATCGCCAGCTCCTCATGGGGCTTCAGCAGCCGAAGGTCGCTCTGTTGGACCTTGAGGGTAAGCAAAGGTAAGTCTGCCTCATGTGCTGCGCCTCTCCCCACCCCCCAGCTCCGCCCCTCAGAGGAGGCCGCAAGGCTGACGTACGCCTCCCGACCGCCCTCTTCCTCTCCTTCCTCACGGCTCCCACTCCCACACCTTCCCAGTCGCCGCAGCCTTGCTGTGGAAGTTGCGGTTGGCCTCCTCCCGGCACCGCTCCAGCTCCTGCCCGCTGCAGAAGATCCAGTGCTTGCGCTGCGTGCTGCTGTGGTACATGACGACGGTAATAATGACAACGGCCCCCACGTTCTACGGTATTACGCTTTCCGGTGTGGGCGGGGCACTGCTGGGAGGTGTAGTTCAGCGGCGGGGAGGTGGGGGGAGGCCTAAGGATCGCTGAGGGGAGGGCGGGCCCGGAACGGGAAGTGGGAATGTCAGGGTACAAGTATGAAAGGAGCAGTCTGGGTGAGAAAAAGAGTAACAGCGAACTTGAGAAAGGTTAAGAACAAACTCAAGGTCAAAACCACATAGTTTATTTTGAAAAGATCAGCAAAACAGAGGGTACCCGTGTCCCCAAAGCCACTTGGTTCATTGTTATGCTAAAACTCACACCCCCTGAGGTAAGAGATCCTTACCCACAGAGACCCTGTATCACAGAAGATGTGTAGTGAAATAAATACATACGGCATTGTCCTGGGTTCAGCAGTAGCAGTCATTTTTTCTCCTTAGTAGCTGCTGCAGTGCTGTGTTTTTGTCTTTCAGTCTGGGAACAACGCTGATAACACCGATGGTTTTAGTTGTTGCTCAGTAACGTTTACTCTGACCAAGGACTTTGTGAGTCTCATGCTCTGCCAGGGAGGAAGGGAAGTCGGGAGGAAGCAGAGACAGGACACCTGACCCAAAGAGGTGTTCCATACCACAGCACATCATGCCCACTGTATAACCTGGGGGGAGTTGCCCGGAAGGCTCAGATCACTGCTTGGGTTGGACTTGGTGTCCGTCAGCAGGTGGTGAGCAGTTGTATTCTTTTCCCTTGTTATTTACCTTATCATTATTATTATTGGTGGTAGCAGTAGTGGTTTGTGTTATACCTTAGTTACTGGACTGTTCTTATCTCAGCCTGTGAGAGTCACATTCTTTCAGTTCTCCTCCCCATCCCTCTGGGAGCGGGGATAAACTGGGAGCTGGGCATAAACCACAGCAGGAAAGAAAGCAAGCAGGAAATTCTTTATGTTGTAGCAAATGAAATCCATCTTGTTGAGTTTAAAAAGAAGTATGTGAGAAGAAATAGTTCTCTAGCCCCCTCATGCCAGTAGTAGGTTGTAGTAAGGTTGTAATGGGATGGGAGTTGGCCTCTTCTCCCAAGTAACAAGTGGTAGGACAGGAGGAAATGGCCTTAAGCTGCACCAGGAGAGGTTTAGACTGAGCAATTTCTTCACAGAAAGGGTTGTCAGGCACTGGAACAGGCTACCCAGGGAAGTGGTGGAGTCACCATATGAATAGTTAAGGACTGTTTCAACACTGTTCCGCATGGCATCCTTGTCTCTAAACGAGTGACATAAATTTGATGGCTGGACACCCAGTGGATAACAAATTGGCCGGTTGGCCTCATAGAGAGGGTTGTGGTCAACAGCTTAATGTCCAGTTGGAGACCAGTAACAAGTGGTATACCTCAGGGATCAGTGTTGGGAAACTGATCCTGTTCAGCATCTTTGTGGGCAACATGGACAGTGGGATTGATGTACCCTGAGGAAGTCAAGCTGTGTGGTTCAGTTAAGACACTAGAGGGAAGGGATGTGATCCTGAAGGACATTAACACACTTGAGAGGTAGCCAGTGCCAACCCCATAGAGTTCAACCAAGCCAAGTGCAAGGTCCTACTTCTGTGTCAGGGCAATCCCAGGCACAGCTACAGGTTGAGCAGAGAAGAGACTCAGAGCAGCCTTGCGGAGAAGGACTTGGGGGTATTGGGTGGCAAGAAACTGAACATGAGCCACCTTCAGTGTGCGCTTGCAGCCCAGAAACCACCCATGTGCTGGGCTGCATCAAAAGGAACATGATCAGCAGGTCAAAGGAGGAGATCCTGCCCCTATATTCTGCTCTCATGAGACTCCATTGGAACTCTGCGTGCAGTTCTGGTTTGCTCAACAGAAGAAGAACATGGAGCTGTCGGAGCAAGTCCAGATGAGGCTACGAGGATAATCAGGGGACTGGAGCACCTCCTGTAGGAAGACAGGCTGAAAAAAATGGGGCTGTTCAGCCTGGAGAACAGAAGCTGCATGGAGACCTCATAGCAGCCTTCCAATATCTGAAGGGGGCCTGGCAGGATGTTGGAGAATGACTCTTAATCAGAGACTGTAGTGATAGGACAAGAGGTGATGGTTTCAAACTCAAGTGATGGTTTCAAACTTAATCAGGGAAAGTTCAGATTAGATATAGAATCATAGAATCATAGAATAGTTAGGGTTGGAAAGGACCTTAAGATCACCAAGTTCCACCCCCCCTGCCATGGGCAGGGACACCTCGCTCTAAACCATACTACCCAAGGCCTCATCCAACCTAGCCTTGAACACTGCCATGGATGAAGCATTCACAACCTCCCTGGACAACCTATTCCATATAAGGAATATATTCCTATAAGGAAGAAGTTCTTCCCTGTGAGGGTGGTGAGGCTCTGGCACAGGTTGCCCAGGGAAGTTGTGGCTGCCCCATCCCTGGCAGTGCTCAAGGCCAGGGTGGACAGGGCTTGGAGCAGCCTGGTCTAGTGGAATGTGTCCCTGCCCATTGCAGGCAGTCGGAACTGGATGAGCTTGAAGGTCCCTATCAGTTGTCCTAACACTAGTTAACTAGTTAAAATTTTTATTGCTCATGCTAAGTAGTACTTTATTTTTCATTTAATGTCACTGGTATCAGTGAGATCTTTTTGTCAAAGGAGCACTACTCTGTGTTAGCAAAATATACCAGTCATTCAAACCAGTAGAAAATGTGTCTGTATATAGCTATAATCCACTTAAGTACAAATATGCAATACAGGGACATACAAGTTAGGATACGCAGCAAAACCACAGACTTCAAATAAGTGAAAAAGGACCAGAAAGAACAGTTTGGAATTCCTGACTTTTACATCTTTAAACAGGAAAACCATCTGCATTTAATAAGGTACAACTTCAGAAATATATTAAGTGTATGATCTTAAAGAAATCATGGATCATGGGAGCAGAACTTAAGTATGCTGAGGCAGAGCTGTTTGTTTATTCTTAAATTAAGGGCACATCACATTCATCCAGTGATGAGGGCTGAATTCCTTCTCAGCAATCAGATTTGTATGTTACTTTTGCTACTGTGCAGGTCATCTGTTGAAGTCAGTGGAAGATGTTCCTGAAGACCAAAAGCCAAGGCTGGCTTTTACAGAGTAAAGTGGTTATTTTTGCCATTCTTCACTGGCATGTCCTGAATCGTTCATTGGGATAGTTCTGTTTGTTCCATCCCTTGTTTCTTGCTTTTCCTTCTTTACTTCTTCCTTCCGTTTACTGACTTTGCCCTGATGTTCTTTTTAATTTTTTCGCTGCTCCATTCTTCCCACTCACTCCACTTTCAATATGTCATCTCATATGAATATAATTGAGGTACTGACACTGGTGCTGAAGAGTCATCACTGGATTTCTGGACTGGTAGTACCCGTAGTTAAGAAGAAACTGAGGATGTGGGCTTCTGAGTCACAAACTGCAGCCGTCTTCATATTTAGGAAGTGCTGTTGTGGCATGTTTGCAAAGATATGTTTGGAACCAAGTGTGCTTGAAATGTACTTTAAAAGTAAGAGCACTTAGGCACTACAGAGTAATCAGTATGTTGTAGGCCACAAAAATAGGACAGGCAGGCCATTTCCAGACGATGTGTGTACATCCAGAAGATGTGTGTAGACCTCTTCTGGTTTAGGTTTTTCAACATTACAGATGCTTTCTCTAAGGCTTACAATCACAAAATGCCAAGGTAGCATGTGGATCAGTCATTTTATGTTCAGTTAGCACAGGCAGATACCACTTTAGTAAATAAATGTGAGCTACAACATGAGATCCTGGTCTGGACCTGAATTGTAGCAGAACGTAGTACTCAGAGCTGGGGCTTCAGTTCACTTTAACATAAAGGAAGAAGTGTTACAAAGGTAAGGTTTGATGTGAACTCCCCTAAATTTCAGGGTTATTTGCTGCTGGAGTTCTTTCTGAGACCTTACTTCAAATTGGTATGTGTTTGCAAAGGGACTGGAAAGGATAGAGATAGGCTGCTTTCACTAAAGGATCTGTCAGTTGTTTTGACCCTGTGGGTACAGCCTGCAGAGCTCCATGAGCTCCCTTTCCTGCCTAACGCATAAAAACCCTGAAAATTAAAGTTACTTTATGTGATTACTTCACATGCGTTTGGCCATGGCAGTTTAAGAAGCCTTTACATGTGAGTACCTCATATGGAGCCAACCTCATATGGAGCCAACATCAGGCTACTGCAAATGGGTACGTCATTATTAATACTGCTTTTTTGCTTTGCCTACCACAGATAAGCTGGACCACTTCTCCATTTGGGGCACTTCCAATAAAAAGGCATGGTCCGCTTCAAGAGTCTGAAAGAAAAAATCTGAAAGCCTTCTAAAGATGGGAGTTGTCTGAAGTAAATAGAAGTATGGCAAGAATACTTCTCATAGCCACAAAGGTTGCATGTCTTTGAAGGACAGGACATTGGCCTGATACAGAAGAAAGGAGAACACAGTTCAGATGTTAGCAAAAACATAGAATTGCTGTAGAAGTTCCCTTGTGACATGTCTGTCAAAAGTGCCACAAATAAGAGGTGATTTTGACTTGGCCAGTGAAGACCATCAGTCTTGTAGTTCTGTGGTTCTACTGGTTGCCATGTAATTGAGATCACATGCTAGCAACTTGTATGTGTGCTAGAAAGGAAATTTTCTACTAGGATTAAGTTTAAGAACATTTTTCTTTTCACTTTGCACAACAGCGTGTGTTATTTGAATGGAATATTCTTGGGTTTTTTTGGCATTTTTGAAAATCATGAAATGTAAATATCTCACATGATTGGAATATATGATACATTTAGCATCATGGAATGGTTTGGGTTGGAAGAGATCTTAAAGGTCATCCAGCTCCAACCCCCTGTATTTCATTTATATATTTAATTATATATTTCATTTATATATTTTTATACCTATATTTCATTTACAGGTAGGTTGTGGTTTAAGCCCAGCCTGCAACTCAGAACCACGCAGCCACTTGCTCACTCCCACCTTCCTCCGTCCGCTC